GGGTACAGATCCTCTGAGCAAACATGCACAGAGCTGGTGCAGAGCTCTGCCCACAGCTGCAGAGTCTCCATGACCATTACAGCCTGTGCAGACTCTGAATGTGCTGTGCTGCACGAGGTGCTTGGTGAGGTTCCAGCAGCAGAGGAGGGAGCAGGAATTCATCTCCCACTGAAGCTGTACTTGCAAAATCTGGCAATTGTGTTATGGTTCTGGACTGTGAGTTGGTACAGGTTTTGATTCATATAGGTCTGGGCTTTCCACACACTGATTTATATAGATTAGATCCACCCAGTCCCACATTACATACATTTGCATTCTTTATAATGGTACATTGTTCTGAAGAAGTTTGTAAGAAGACTAATTAAATTATATAAACAGCTTGTGCTGTGTCTGTGTAAAAATTTGGGCTCATGTCACAAGCAAATCAAGGTTTTTCCTGTGTTGGAAAAAATCACAAGCATATGATTGGTTTTTTTTAAAGGTGCTGTATTTCTAATGTTGCAAAGTTCCGTATAGGATATTTTGAGTTGGAAACTAATGATCCGAATTTACTGTCATACCTTGTATGCTTTATCCTTCAATTTCTGTGTGTCTACACACATGTTTATTTAAAATCATACATGAAATGTACAGTGAGCTAATTTTGTATTCTGCAGATGGGCTTTTGTATACTGTTTTTTTTTAAATTAGTGATAAATTATTCCAAATGTTTTGATTAATTCAGTGTTCTTCTAAGTGTTTTCTTATATTTCTATGATGGCATTTATGGTAAAATCCATACTGCTTTTGTCTGTTGACCTGTGACTTCCTTATTACCATTGGTATTGCAAATAAGTAACAAGGTGTACATGCTATTGCTTATGGTTACTTGGAGGACATTAATTTTCCAGGTGATGTTAAAATTACTTATATATTCTTTTTAATATCTAGAATTTTTCTCTGAAAAACAATACAAGCTTATCTCCTGACCTTAAGATCTGTTTAGCATATCAAAATTTAACTTAAATATTTAAAATGTAAGTAGATCTTTTTTGTTGCTCAAAGGCTGAAGGAGACAATACAAATAAAAAATAACTGCTTTACTAAAATTAGAAATGAATCTATTTCACAGATTTCAATGGGGCAGATGCTACAAGATTTTGGAAAATTTCTGGGCATGTTTCTTCTTGTCTTGTTCTCATTCACAATTGGATTGACCCAACTTTATGATAAGGGATTTAGTGTAAATGAAGAGAAGGACTGCGCCGGCATTTTCTGTGAACAGCAGAGCAACGACACGTTCCATTCGTGAGTTTGAGATCTTAAAATAACTGCATTGTTTTAGCCTTTAATCCCTAGTAATTAAACAGAACTGGATTTTTTCTCTGATCTTGAACTGATGTTTACACTTCTGGTGTTTCCCTAACCAGATTTTCCCTTGTTTCTGTAGGTTTATTGGTACCTGTTTTGCTCTCTTCTGGTACATATTCTCCCTGGCACACGTCGCAATCTTTGTGACACGTTTCAGCTACGGTGAAGAATTACAGTCTTTTGTGGGTGCTGTTATTGTTGGGACCTACAACGTGGTGGTTGTGATAGTATTAACAAAACTCCTTGTGGCGATGCTTCACAAAAGTTTTCAGCTGATAGCAGTAAGTGGTGTCTGATTAATTACCAATTACCTGTATCTGGATTTTACACAAATGTCTTCTGATGGCGTGTAAACTCCTGGTCTGTAGACCTCATGGATGAGCTCTGTCTGTGAACTCATATTTTTCCTTCAAATAAGAACTTTTTATTTGCTTTGATTAAAAAAAATTGTAATTTCCATGTTGAGTATGTATAGGGCTTTGGCCCCCTGGTAATTGATGGCTTTCTTGATACAATGGCTGTTCAAATGCTGATTTTGATATGTGTGGTGCTTTGGCATTTGATCTGGGTATTGATCTATACCTTCAGATTGTTATACTAGGAATTGAAGAAAGATATACTTGTGTTAAGTATTTAATGTTGGAATATTCAAGTAAACCTATGTTCTATCCATTAAAATGCTATATAACCAAAATTAAATAATCGTCAGTTTTTCAGGTATGAGCAAACTAAACTTAGAAAATAACCTATTAATATTTGTGTTTCTTTTCTCTGTTAATGTTTCTGATGCTTTAGAATCATGAAGATAAGGAGTGGAAGTTTGCTCGTGCCAAGCTTTGGCTTAGCTACTTTGATGATAAATGCACACTCCCCCCACCTTTTAATGTTATTCCCTCTCCCAAGACCATTTGTTACCTTTTCAACAGTCTCAGTAAATGGATCTGCTCTCATACATCAAGTGGCAAAGTGAAACGTCAGAACAGCCTCAAGGTGAGGAATGGTTGGGCAGGCTCTGAGCTCTGCAGCAGGAAAAGTGCTGCTTACTGAAATGAAAACACAGATTGCTGCATGAAGCTGCCTGTCAGAAGGTGAATGCTAATAAGAGAAATAGGAACTGCAGAATTATGGGTGTTGCATTCAAGATGAATAAGTGTTACTTATTTCTACTTAAGTAAGGTTTTATTAACTTTCTGGTTTGGAAATTTCAACCCACTTCCATCCAGCTACCAATTGCCCCAGAAATAGTCTGAAAAAAGTGCTTTGATTGAATGAAAATACACAGAAACCTCAAGGAAGTATGTGCTAATCTCTAAAACGGTGAGGTTAGAATATTCTTTGGAGAAGGTAATTGGTTTTAAACATATTACAGAAGTGTCAGAATAAATAGCCAAAAAAGATCACTGAAGCCTCTCATTGTTGGGGAAGGGATTTTTTGTTTGTTTATTTTATAAACATTTTTGCACCCTGCAATTTTGCATACTAATTTTGCATCTTCTTGCTGATGAAAATAGCGCTAAATAAACAAATTCAAGCACTTTATGGAATTTGCACCAAGAGGCAGTCAGGATTATAGAAGTCTTGATTGCTCACAGAACAATTAATCAAGCCAGGTAGATAAAAATTTTCAGTTTTGCTGAAAATTTTTTATCTATAATTTAATGTGAATTTTGTGGACAGTTTATATGTGTTGTTATTTGTGTACATCAGGATGTATTTAAAAATTAGCTTTGTTATTTTGTTCACATTTGTTCTCTGTAGTATTGTATATCCTACTGTGCTCTGTAGGATATACAGGCTTTAGGGCTCAAAAATCCCTTCCATATAAATATGCTGTGTTTGTTTAAAGGAATGGAGAAATCTGAAGCAGAAGAGAGATGAGAATTACCAAAAGGTGATGTGCTGCTTAGTGCACCGTTACTTGACTTCCATGAGACAGAAGATGCAGAGTACGGATCAGGCCACTGTGGAGAACCTCAATGAACTGCGGCAGGACTTGTCAAAGTTCCGCAACGAAATGAGAGACCTGCTCGGCTTCCGAACTTCCAAATATGCCATGTTCTATCCAAGAAACTAACACCTCACCTTTAAACAAAAGGTCTGTGCTTTTAAATACCCATAGGTGAAAGCGTTGACCTAATTCTGTTGCCAGATCATATAGGTAAGATCATTGCACAAAAATAATTTGAAAATGCATTTGTGTGAGTTGCAGATCAGTGACCAAGTGGTCAAAGTGAATGCAAAAACAAATACACTAATTTTCTTAACCTCTTAATCTTGGTATGTATATAAAATTTGTATATAGGAGTTTTTTAAATGTTCCTCAGACTGATTGTGGCTGTCAGGTGTTAGAGCTTCAGAACTAGCACAATGTGTTTCTTTCTTCTATTTTTGCCATTTGTTCTTTTTTTGATATTGTTTTTCAAGTTGTGGGAGAAGATAGGCTTTTTAAAATGAAAATCCAGCCTGTTTATTTTTAATAGAAAAGTCAGATAAAGAATAATAGAAAATTTCCAGCACAGTTGGAAATGATGTATGACTGTAGGTTACAGTGCATGTGAAGACTGTATGGCTCTGAAAGAGGCAGTTCTAGTTTTGTATGATAACACTGACTGTAAATTAACATTTCTAGAATACAGCAAAGCAAATCATCAAGACTTTTCACTTTTGTGGGAACATTGACATTTTGAACACAAAATAGACCAATCATTTCTTGAATGTTTGTGGTTATGTGTAAGACAATCACACCCTGCTTGAATTTTTCAGCAGTGCCTCAGTAGTATATTTTAATATTCATGTTAGGATTGGGAACAGAATTTAAAAACTAATCTGTGAACATTTAATGTTTAGTATCTTGGGTTTTTAAAATCTAGATAAATTATGTGAATTACTAAAACCTGTAATTTCATGAGAATGAGGTGAAGCACATGACTGCTATTGTTTGCAGTGCTGAACAATTCCTGTACACCATTCTACTCTTCTTTCTGTGAGGTCATTGAGTCTTGTCATTGGAGAGATGTACTTTAGAAGGGTCTGCTTGACACATATCCTACTTTTAAATTTGGTTTGCTTTTTTCCTATTTTTTTACCAGGATTGTTGCCAAGCTAGACTTTTTTTTTTGTCAGGTAAAATGTGTTTTCTGAAAATAGTTTATCTGACTTTGCTTACAATGGACAGTAAGGGCTTTGTGGATTTTCTGTGCTAGAGGGTCCTATATGGCTTTATATGCTTATATATAATTCAAGCTGACAAACTGTAACTGAGAAATGTGAGATTCCTGTATTTTTAATTACAAAGTAAGTATATTTATGACAGCTAAAGGATTGATGGACAGTTTTGCTGTTATGGTGCTCCTCTGAAATGGTTTTGTGTCCAGAAGGCGCCGGTAGCCATTGTGGTCTTTGACTGCAGTTGATTTTGGGAGATTGACAGAGTGGGGGCTTACATGAATGTTTACTTTTTTGAAGGAATTCTTATAAAACTCTTTCTTGTAAAGGTAATATATTTTCCATACTATGAAATTATGTATTTCTGAGCTAGGTTTTAATACTCTACTTTCAGAAGTGTTAGAGTATAGAGGGATTCTGACCTGTGTTGGCTTTTCATGGGAATAGGAGGTTAACCTCCTGGTTCAAAGCAAAGAGGATCTCTGAGTTTTGTATTTGAACTGAGATCTCATGTTTGAATAATGCACCAACATAAAAACTATGTGCTGTGTATGTCATGTATATTCAAGAAAGGAAGCAAATAAAAGCTCTTTGAAAAATATGGTTGTATTAATATTTGTCATATTGCAAACACATTACGTCAGTTACCACACTGAAAGTATTTTTTTGGTCATGTTGAGGTAATAAGTTTAAGGAAGGTAGCTGGTGTCAGTGTGTTACTGCCTTTTTCCTGTTTGTTCAGTGGAATGGCTTCATGCAGTGATCACCATGAAGTGATGCTGGTTCCAGACCAGCTGGGTTGGACCCCAGATGCACCAGCAGGTGTTTGGCACTGGGATGGTTAGTGCTGGGAACTGGGGTGTTGACAGTGAATGAAGGAGATAATGGAGCTATTTCTGAGTTCTTTTCATACATTGAGCAGAGTCCATCAGAGCTGGCTTGGTCAGTGTCTTTGGTGCTGTGTTCTACTGCAGTGTAGATGGCCTTAGGAAGAACTGGGGCACTTCGGGGCTCTCAGGGGTTTTGGATTGGGAATTCAGGAGTTTTTATTTGTCACTGAAATACAAACCTGCAGAATGAGAGAGACAGAAAGATTGTTCTCTGCCATACCTCAGTTATATCACATTATACATCTCTGTTTTATTTGAAAACTGCTGTGCTCTTCCAAGCTTTGTGGCTACTAATCGGTACCAAGTGCTCTGTACTCAATTTTTTTCTCATCATTTATATTTTTCTAGTTCACCTGTGTTAAATATGCTATTGTTTTCTCATTTGACAGTTTAGTACAGACTGTTCCAAGGCCTCCCTTGTGCTCACTGACAGAATAGTTCTAGACAGGCACAGAAACAAAATTTTACATGTAAAAAAAAAAATTGGGGAAACTGGAGTTAACTTGGCTATAGGATTCAGAGTTTCCTTGTACAAATTTTTCTGCAAGTCTTGAAAGGACTAAGAGTTTTTTAGATAACTGGAAAAGGCTTTTTCTTCCCTTTTATATTAATGTTGGTTTTGTCTTAGAGCTAGCTTTGCCTTGATAAATGAAAAATGGAGATGAAAATTTTCATGCATGCATTTGAAGCAGGAAGGTCAAAATCGATGAGTGAAAGCTTACTTTATACTTGCTGAACTATGGTCTCGTTATTTCTGTAGAAATCATTTCAGAAATCATGGTTAGATAATTTTGATTCTGTTTGGTTGCAAGTTGGATTTAAAATTTTTTAAGTTTACAATTGCTACAAACTGGGTTTAAAAACTTGCAACAATTGTTACCTGTGTTGTATAACCAACTCTTACTTGAGAAAACTGGCGCTGCTCCATGTTCCTCTGTTCCCTGTTTCAGGCCTACTGCTACCAGAGCAATGACTGGGGAAAGGAACTGGTGTAAAGGGAGCATTGAGAAGAGCAGGCAGGAGCTCTCCCTACCTTCCATTTGGCAGATGATGAGTAAGCTGCCAGTCCTTTCTTGCCTCACTGAAAAAAGCTGCGTGACAGATGGCCATGTCATCATAAATAAAAATAGATTGTTGTAGTTCAAGACAGCTCAGAGCATGATTTCCACACTGCTTTTCCCCAGGCTGCTGCCAAGAAATGCAGAGAGCACTGTGCATAAAATCCCTTAGTCTGCATAGGAATTAATGCTGGAAAATTAAAAATCTGATTTATAAGTTTTAAAATTACAAAACTGCATCTGCTTTGCAAACAAATGTTGCTGTTGGCTCCAGAGAGAAATGCTGTCTGGTTTGGTCAGTGGGGCAGTGCAGTCTGTGAAGTGTGGCTGCAGCACTGAGCTGCTGGATGTGAGCTGCCAGCAGAGCCTTTTGTACCTGTGCCCCCCTCTGCTCCTTTTGTCCCCAGCCCAGCTAGCCATGAAGCCTTTGGAGGAGAGGCTGTGTGCTGCTGAGCTGCACACTGGGGCACTGCATCACGTGTGAGAATCCATCACTGAAGGCAATGGCAATCTGCATTCCCCTGCTGGAATAAGCAATGGGTTCTTCAGTAGGGACTGTTTTATTGCATTGGTTTCAATGGTCACAGATCATCCAAAGAACTCTGCTCTGGTATTTATATACAAGGAAAACAAATAATTAAAGGGATCTTAGATTCTATATGCACCTTACCACAACTAAATTAATTCCTACCTTCCTCTACCTTATTACCTTACAGAACTTAACAGTGACATTTACTAAGCAGATGGTCATCAGTGGAGAAAAGTGTGGTGCTGGTTTACAGCTGCCTAATTCTTTGAAGGGTTCCTGTTCTGATCAATGATTCACTGACTTCTGAAGGGAAAATCAGACCCTCAATCAGCAAGGAAGCGTGGTGTCAGTTACAATGTGCAAGGCCCAAACCATCAAAAGCATGTAAATGATCAAAAAATGGCTTCTATATTTAGCTGCCTCACTTTATAAATAATTAATAACTAGTTGGTGGATGATTTAATCTTAAAATATTTTATTAAGCACTGATAATAATGCAGAAATCCATGTAATAAAACAACTTTAGAGAAAAAAGCTGAGTTGAACTGAGTTGCTATAAATATTGCACTTAGAATTCTTATTTTACGTACAAAACTCCTTAAAAAATTGGACAGTTATAAATTAACATCTTCCAAGTAATTGGAATTTTTCTTTGAGATCAGATGGCTGTGCTGCAAATCTTCGGCTTTCAGCCTTAGGAGGGTCTGTTCTCATCTGGTACATGGAATGGATTTCACTTTGAGCCAGCTGTGCTTATGTGGACAGGAGAGGAGGAAGGGTCAGCATGGTTGTACTGTTGGCAGTCACTTGTATTTCCATGACTTAGGCTAAGTTAAAATGATTGTTCAAGACAGATGATAGAACACTGCAGAGTTCAATTTTGACATGTTTTGTTTTTCAAGGCATTTAAGATCTTTGAGTTCTTAGTCTTAAAACTCATGACAAAGCTGTTGGGATAGACTTTGCCTCTGCCATCTTCTTCTACCTGGCCCATGATGATGTAGTTTAAACCTAGAAAGGAGAGAATGAAATTACAAGACAGAAATCTGGGACATCATTTGGTAAGTACAGTTCCTGACCTGTGGTTTCTGTTCATTTCAGTGTTTGTTACCAATGTCTTCCAACACCTGCAATATTTACTCCCTTACATATCTTTGCCATACTTGTTACACCACAAACTAGTAAGGTAAAAATCAAGCAGATGCAGAGCTAAGTGTCTAGTACATATTTAAATATATAGGGGATACTCTTTAAACACAGACTGTCAAGTCTGAGAGGCACTAGAAGTGCCCATCAACACTGGATAACCCAACCACTGTCACCCAGGGTGGAATATGTTTCAATTTTCAATATTTTCACATTTGCTCAGCTTATGGGTTACTGCCCTTAAGCAATGATGCTCTTAAATCCTCTCATTCCCTTTCCCTCCTCAGAAATGTAAACATTCTCTAGATACATACAGAAGCATTCAGGCAAGGTGGACTTAATGAGTGGTAAGACCTGGCTTTGGACAATTCAATTGGATCTGTGTATTTTTATGCCTTAGAAGCGTTGGGGATTTGCAAGGTCTTGGGTTGGAAGGAATGGTACCACAGGGATATAAACAGAAAAGTTCAGATATTATGTAATGGCTCTTAAATAATTCATTGAGATTTAGGATGAGAAATAGAAGTGGTTTGGAGCCAGAAGTCTGGCTCCAAAAGGAGACAGTTTGTTTCACCAAGGACATTATTATGTCTCCCAGTGTGCTGTTTTCAGATAACTAAAGGCAAAAGCTAATTTCTGATCATGATTTTTCACTTTGTTATTGCCCACTTTGAGTTAATATGCTTAAGCACTGGTAGGATCTGGAATGATATCAGGGTTTTTTTGATGCTTATTAAATTACTTTGACTGTTTCCTGCTATGACTCTGTTTATGTTCTTGTGTTCTACCTGTTTACTTATGAGGCAAAGCTAAAAACAGATTTATTTTTTACTTAGTTACTTCAATAAAAAAATGCTGCTCTCACTATTTCTTTTAACACCTTTACCACAATTAACTGGAATTTATGTTGGTTGATCTCTGTATATTACTTAAGGTAGCTTTTAGCAGTACTGGCTGTTTGCAGATACCAAGTGGGCTTAATGCTATGAGTATTTCTGTGAAGCTGTAAATACATTCAGGAGATCCACAAGAGTGGAACTTGATTTTCTGCCATTTCCTGTAAGATATTGCTCTTCCAGGTTTAGCAGGCTGTTGTCTTTCCCTTATAAACAGCTGTGTATAAAAACTAGCTCCAAAATACATACAAGTAAACGCCAAATCTATCTCAGCTTCATCTGAGAGATAAAGATGAAAATCAGATTTTATCTTGCATCACGAGGCTTTTAAAGAAAAAAGTTTTGCAAACTCCTGTGATCCACATGAGCCTAATCTTTTTCCAGAAAAACAGAAAAATACAATAAACCTCTGGATTACTGGTCATTTTAAATTTATTTTAATACTAACTGCTGATTATAGAAAAAAAACCACTGATTTTTGTGTCCATATTTTTAATAGTAGTTTTTATAACTGTTATCTTTTATAAACACACAAAGCAGTTATTACTGTGTACTTACCTCTCCTGATGAGAGGACACTGCTTACACATAACAAGAATCTTGGCACTCATATTCTTGCCAGCTTGCTGGATTGCTAAATTCCCCTCCTTATATACATTAATGATGGATATTGTTGCATGCAGACTGCCAGCCCGTGGTACTGTTGTGATTACTGTTCCAGTTATTACTAGAAGAAAAGACATTTGATATATTTGGTACATTTTTATTATTTTTAGACAAAAATTTTGAGCATCATAAAAACTTATTAAGTATATTAGTGCCTAATACTGGGAACACTTACTAAAAATATGAGTTATCACTGCTAATAACTAACTCACTTCTGTCAAATTTTGGTGGCACCAAATATGGAACTGTTCTACAGTGTGTCAGTCTCATGCAAGCCCAGTTCTCTGATTTCAGTTGAACGGTACAATTTGATACTACTTTTAATGTGTCATTTTCAAATTGTGCAGAAATTGAATTGAAACTCTTCTACCCAAAATCAGAACTCCCAGCGCTCTGGCACTCCCATTTGAGTAGCAGGGAATAGTTAATGCCCTAAGAACTAGATTTTGCTCTGCCTGAGGCGTAATACAAACTTACTTATTTCAGCTGAATGTATTTACAGATCTCTAGTTACCATCATATCTCCCAAAGACCTCTCAGTATGAAAATCAAGACACTTTCTTTTCCCTAGGATGACTAAATTAACTGTTAAGCCATCTTTATTTATCCAAAGGAAATGGTAATTGGTATTAACAATTTGGTTTCTTCTCAGGTCATCTTTTTACATCAGATATTCTATCCTAGGATAAATTCGATCTTCATTTATCAAGTATGTACAGCCAGATTTATTTTACAAAACTGCATAATGCATATTTTGCCATTTTGTAAATTTTCACATTATCGTCCTCTAATGCAGAGCTTTTAATTAAATAGAATGTTCCAGGTCAATCAAGAAAGAACTATGGATGTTAAACTGCTGGGTACTGCAACTGTGTTTCTAGGAACAATAAAATGAAATGCATGATGAAAGAAAAATAGTTATTATTTTCTAAAATCATAAATTCTGCAAATAAACTTCAAGTAAATAACATTCTATGAACAGACTTATTATTCCTACCTTAGGATATGCTTTTATTCACAGTAGCATATAAAGTATTTTTACTCTCACTCCTGTCACAGAAAAGACTGAAAAATGTCAAGTATTTGACAGAAGATGGGAGAGATGAATGTGATTTCTTACTGTAATGCTAGAGGAAAAAAACAAGCTTTATGTAGTGTCATTTACCATGAGCCACAAAGCTGGGGTGTGGTCAGTAAGAGGAGACCATTTATGGTTTGGGTTTTTTCCCCTACCTGTTTCTGTTGTGTTGGATCAGCCTGAGGGTTGGAAGGGGCTGTGGTCAGGGCTGGGAGGGGCTCCCTGAGTGCACCCTGAGTGCTCCCTGCCCCGGGGCACAGCCACAGCTCCCCTGCTGCTGGGCACCATCAGGCAAACCTGCCCTAGATCCCTCAGATCTCATGGGATTAGCAGTGCAGTAAGAGGGACTCAGCTTAAAATGAAAAAAGGGTGGTGGCAGGGAGTTTTCTCATCAAATTGCCAGGCATGTTATAGGGGATTAGAAAAAGATTGCAGTATAATACGGGGAAATACAGACACATAACTGAGCAGATCAGCAGTGCCAGTGCCATGCTAATGCACAGGAGACACTGTTTTTCCTGATTGATTTATGTCTGTGTACAGAAAGCAGTGCTTGGAAGCTTCCATCCCTTCCAATTTCTTTTCAAAGCATTTTGGAAGCACATACACTGTATTGTGGAACAGTCTTGGCTGGTTACAGAAAATGGAGATGACAATACAGTAACTGAATCAGTGAATCCTGAGGTTGTCTTACATTGTCATTTGCTTCTCAGATTGAGAAGTTAAGTTTGTCTCAGATATCTGTGCAGTGCCTATTTTAGAATATCTCCAAGAATGTACTGAGTGAAACACAGATACTGATGTCAGATACATAGATAAGTTGGTGTAAAAATATTAGCCTATATATTAATGGAAACCCAGAACTCCATCTGGGAAAGTTTCCTTGAGTGTAAAAACACAGTAGAGAATGGATAAATAAAAAGAAACTGCTTCCTTACCAAAGTTGCTTGAACAATAATTGCTTTCCAGAGTCCCACTCCTTTTACACTTCTGCTGGCACAGGGCAACTGTAGGTTTCACAGCTTTTTGAAGGGAAAAAAGTAAATTGAAACTGAAATGAAGCATTTGCTACAAATAATAAGCACTATGTTCAAAAAAGACGAGAAGAAAGATTAATAATCCTGATGTGTGCATGAGCTAGAGCTGGCATTTCAGGGATGAGCACCACAGTAACAATATTCCTCTCTCTGCTGTCACCTCCAGTCATTGTCTATTCAGGTGTCTCAGCTGTGTCTGTTCCAGCAGCCTGAGAGAATGGGATGTCACTCAAGATTTGTGTGGCATCTGAAGCCTGTCACTGCTGCTGCCACACAGCCCTAGCAGAACACCTGGAGTACCACAAGAGGATGTTACAGTAACACTTCCCTGGGAGGGGGTGGCCTTTTATTGGAAATTATGGCACTGTGGTGAAAGGGATCAGAGTTCAAATTCCTGACCCTTTTTTCCCAAATTTTTCACATAGCTTCATGTCAGGTAGTGTTGCATAGTTTTTCTTCATGACATTTTGAAACAAGATGTCTGAGGTATGGAGTTAACGTTAGGGATTGACATTTCCTTTCTGAAATGGAATGCTTTGTTTATAAACAACTGAAAACACTTGGCATCTTTCTTACTGGTATTCGAGTCTTTAGAAAGTTAAATGCCTCCCACAAGGAAAAGTGTTTTAAAGAACAAGTTACTATGTCAATGATACAGGTCTGGCAAGTGCTTCCTATCTCAATGCTACACACAGCACACCAAAAATTTAGAATTTAAAGTTTTTTGATTTTTTAAAGTTAGCATCCATAGTAGCAGGTTAGGAAATTCAGCAGGCAGATGAGTCCCAGGTGTATGCCATCATGGTAGCTGCCAAAAATTTACTGAGGTGCTCTGTTTTTTTTAAATTTAAAACTAGGATTATGTGTTACAAAATATCTTGTTTGGTCCTTTTAGGGTGCTTTTTTAGTTCTTTTTTTTTTTTTCAGTTTAATAAATTTTGGTTGGTGACCAGCTTTGCTATGACTTGTCAGCAGAGGCTGTCTATTGTTTGTAAGATACTTTAGCAAAACGTGAACTGGAGAAGAACTGAAATACAAGTTTAGTTGCCTACAACTTGACATGTAGGCACACTGACAGGAAAATGCATGACTTTATCCAATGATATAAGGAAGTCAAATACCTCACCACAGGTATTGGATTAATCTTCATTACTTTTACAAATTTATTTATAGCATTTATTTATTTCTGCAACTACTAATATTTGTATGTTACATAAAGACTGATGTAATTCTTATAAGAGCTTACTAAAGTTTAATATTTTATTCATGCCTGGAGTTCTGTGCAAGTTTAAACAGATCTGATCTGCAAGATAATAAGATGAGTCTCTTTGAACTGGACACTTCTGGATGCAAATGATGGCTCAGAAATGTAACTGAACTGTAGAGGTTTGGTTTGCTGTGGTTTGTTTTGAAGATCAGAAATGCCTACACTGTGCAAAACTGATTACACCTTGAAAGGACTTCTTATTTCTGTCTGCCTGACAAGTCTTTTGAACTCTTTGCCTCTGTTGCCCTCTCTAAGATGAAGCGGCATGTTTTCATTTTCTAACACTGATGCTGTCATGAAAATTGATTTGGAGTTAATTGGTAAATTTCACCTCTCTTGTCTGTGCAAAACCCTGAACAGGGTTACTGACAGCCTGCATTACTTGAGACCAAGTGTTTCTACCAACAAGGTCGTTAACAAGTGCTTTAGAGTGAAGAAGAGCTGAATTATTTATTGTTAGAGTCACATCAGAATGATTTACAGGTCACTATGGTTTCATTTTTTTCATGTTTATTTTCATCTATTTTGAATACCTTCATTAGCAGATTAAAGCACCGGTTTCTTGGTTTCCTGCCAACAAGCCATTGCTGCCCTGATTTGTGATGTGTTTTAAGTACAAATCAGGTTATGTCTTGCAAAAACATCATAAATAATTTGGTTTTCTGCTATAATTGTATCTGAAATGCCTCACATACAGGTTCCATAGACATTCTAAGAATTAATCCCTTCAATATCTCAGTAATGAGGTATTTTTGGCAACACCTTTAGAGAAATCCAGCTCTTATCTTTCATATATGTTGTCTTGTCTCATATACAAAAGGAGACTGACTTTTAGTGAGACATATTTCTCTCTAAGTTCCAATCACTAAATATTTTCAAATAAAAATTATTCTAAGAGAGTGTCATATTGACAGGGTTTTGACAGAACCTGAAGAGGGCTCAATTGGCTTCCATACCAATTTTGCTTGATCTTAAAAACTGTAAGAAGAAAAACACAGTAAGATTTTTATATATCAACTTGTATAGAAGAAAGAGTTCCTTTAAATAAAACTATTTCCCAAACTATTCAGAAATTTTTATTTTACAGAAATTAGCTTCTCCATCCTTCTATGGAATGTGCTAGTTAACTGTCCAAAATTGAAAAGAGACAGGAAAATTCTCTCAGGTGGAGTAAGTTACTTTTACACTAAACTCTTGCCTGGATAGATTTTCTTTAATAATCTTGAGTGCATTGTCTCTTGAGTATATTCCAGTACTCCCTTGAGTATATTAATTTTCATTAATTCCTTCAACATTTAAAATACTAACAAACCGTAAAACTTGAATTTTTACTATCATTTCTATCTTGTATTTCTGTAACTCTCTTCTTGTCCTGGAATAATTAATTTTTATAGGGAATGAAATAGAGCCAGTAGGACTTACTTGAGGTAGCAGGGACTGTTGTGGTTGTAGGCAGAGCTGTAGTTGTGGGTAACTTTTTTGGTCTAAATTTGTAATGGCCAATAAAGCCATCAGCTGTTAAGCTTAAATCAGATAAAAACTGAATAAGCAGCTCATTTTTCTCAGACAGAATAGGCCTAAAATATAAAAACAAAATAAAATATTTCCATTCTTTAACATGTCAAAGCCAAAAAGCATTAATAACATTCTTTAAAAAAACCCCAACACTCCAGACTAATACTGAAAAATACACAATTCTTTGCTGGCATGTCACACACTGGTGTTTTGAGGATGAAACTCATTTCCACTAATCACCTAAAACTCTTGATTCCTGAAGTTTATGCCAATATGAGTATTGTTCAATTCTTCCCAGTGACTTCATTGCAAACTTCACTTCCATGAAACGGAAGGGGTCAGATTAGGAAAGTGGAAAACACATTGAAGAAATCCTCTGTACACAGGGGAAGTAAGTAAATGGGGTGTTTTAAAATTTGGTTTTGTTTAGTAAAAAAGGAAAGGCTATGAAAATTCCTTAAGTACTGGACTCTGCAACTCTTCAAGAAACCTAGCAAAAAATAAAATGTTTCGGGTTATTACTTCTGCGGGCTCACTTTTTGTCAATTATTACATTTTGATTACCCAGAATTTTTTTGAAACCCTTCATGAGGTCTTTGAAGTAAAAACTTGTCATTGTTTTCCTTTTTTTTGGCAGATTATCAGAAATCAGTTTACTCTGATGGCCAGGTCTGACTTAACCAAAAGTAAGGGGCTGATTAACTGGAATTCTCTGGATTTACAGCTGCCATGGTGGGTGCCCAGATTAGACTTTCCTTGCTGCAGTATTGACACAGCCTGTGGATGTAGAAGGGCACTGATTATCAGCTGCCAAGAGCTTTGTTCTGCTTCCTGAACACCAGGACTACAAGGCCAAATTTGAAAGATCTGACCCAATCCGTGTATCCTGTCTTTTTAAAAAGGGCTGAGAGGAAAGTGAGTCAGATAGAGTGAGGAATGAGCCAAGGGGCCAGAGAGCTCAGCTGGGTCCTGGTCCTTCAGTATCTATAATCCAAACATCACATCATGTTCATGTTCAGCTGCCATTCCTACTGGTGCCACACCAGTATCAGGAGCACTGGGGTTGTCACACAGTGGCTGATGAGGCTTGTGGGACAGCAGAGAACATGGGCTGGGGCCAGGGTTAGTCATGGAGAGAGAGAGAAAATAGAGAAAACCTAGAGAGACAAGATACTAAGCAATTTCTACATGTTCTGTTGCAGATGCAAAACACTGCATTTAATTTAAAGATTAAAATCTTTTAGAAGCCTTGGACAGAGCTGTTGGCAAAATGACCCACAGTGGCAGTGAAGTTCCCAGCTAAGGAAGTTACTCACGCTGGTGGACTGTCTCCACAGTACTTCCCAATTCTTTTGGCATCATTGATCTCCCCACCATTGAACACTGAAACGTAGTCATATCTGCAGTAGTTGTCTCTTTCCACATCAAACTTCTCAAATTTTAACTCTATTAGCTAAAGGGAAAATGGAAATAAATCATTAAGGATTTGACATGCAGAATTTATTAATACTTCTTGTAGTAAGTGACATCTTCATATAAAGTACTATTTAATTTTTCTTTCAATAAAGGAAAATTCCTTAATCCACTTAATTGTGAAGTATTTTAATCCACATGACCTCTCCAACTAATAGTTCAGCATATGACTCTAGTATTCTGTAAAATGTTTTCTTCTCAAATGTATGCAAGTTCAATAACTTCTGATAAAGCTATTTTTATGAATGAATGTTAGTAGGTGTTGGGTGTTACAATGCTCTTAAAATAACTACAGCAAGTGTAAGCAACAGAAAAGGGGCTTTTAATGTCATTGCATCTTTCAAGATACACTAAAGAAAAAGCAAAGGCAAAGCTGATAAGAGGCATTTCACTGATTTCATTAACAGCAGGGCTTAAATCACTGTGGTTGCCAATGCTGTGTATACTTGATGCAGAATTAAAACCATTAGAAATTAAAATGTTGATAGAAAGAAAATTAGCAAATAGTAAAACTAAACCCAAGAGAAAGTAAATACTGAAAGGAACAGTGTTTCCATGTCAGATTCCCATAATTGTTGAGGCTTTACAAGTCATAAATGTGAAATAGTATCATGCTGGTATTTCAGTATTTATGCTAGTATCTCCAATTACTTTTATTTATGGAATTTTCTACTTAAAGAAAAAAAACAAACAATGTACAAGAAAACAGAAATGGAATCTACTACTCTGGAGTTCTGCAGAATGACTCTGTCAGTCAAGTGGGCAAGGAAGGGAAACAACCCAACTGCTGCATGGAAACAGAGGTAATATATGCATTTAGGTTGCTTCTTTAGATGAAGCACAACAGTATTTAAATCATCTTCCCATAAATAGCAGAAATAAGGCTTGAATGACAAGACTGATTTATGCTGATTGTAGATCAACCTTTATAAAGATCTGACTCAAAGATGGTATTAAATCTTTTAAGATTGTATTAAAAAAAGAAGTAATTTGTACATGGCATGTACTTTATTTGATTACTGACATAGCAAAAGTTATCTTGTTCTACATTCATAGTAATGATAGCCTGTTATCACCTGATGTCTTAGTTTTGCTTGGATATAGTTTTGCACTATTAAGATATTTAGGGTATAATTTTGTTTCCCATAAAGTATGAGTAACCTTGGGGGACTTGATTTCAGAGATGACTAACAGGCTTGTTTCAAAACCCTCAGTATCATGATGAAAAAATGCACTTTAAATGGAATACCCATCTGAATAACATGCTTGTGATCAAAAAACATGGTAAAGAAAGAAGTAATGCAACTGGGAATAGAAATGCTAAATTTTTCCATAGCACTGATAAGTATTTCATGATAGAATAGAAGCTCTTCATGATCAGGAGAAGCTCCTTCATCTTCTGCAATAAATTAAGTAATTATTGGTTTGTATTTGAAGCAACAAAACAAGAGTGCCTTGTTTTACTGATCACTTGCTTATGAAAGGGAAATAGAGATAACACCTAAATTCTGGCAAATGGAAGACTGGGGAGCTTTTTCTGTGCACTTGAAGAGAGACACTTATTCACTACTTAATGGAAAATGGCACTGTCAAGATGCTGCTTTTTTCCATGCAAACAACCACTGTTGCAGTACATGAATAATATATATTTGGAAACAGGTAGATTTGTGGAATAGAATCATCAAAAGGCACAGGATATAATGCCCTTATTTTTATGCTGATATAGCCTTTCTCAAATCATCTCTGTGAGCTTAGGAAAAGTTCTTAGGCTTATCTAGAGACATTTGGAAAGCACCAAAGTAATCTGCAGTTTACAGATAAGGGTTTAAAAATCACTGCCTATCTATAGGATTGTTAAATGGCCTGTATCTAGCAAACAAGGAACGTGCATTAAAAAGGAATACAGGCAAGACTAAGCTGACATATTGCTTCAGTTCAAGGGAGGAACTGTCTTGGTAAATGCAAAAGTAGGAAAGATCAGAAGAATGTATTTATCTGGGGCAGCTTTTTTTATTTCAAGGATTAGTCATGAGCGGAAGATGAAGAGGAAAGTCATCTTTATATGTAAATGAATTTTAAAAGCTGAATGTGGCAAAAAAAGCAACCTACCAAACGTGATTGTCAACCAAAACATTCAATCACTGTATACCTCCTGCTAAGATACAGAGCAGATGGCTCAGCAGCAACCAGAAAATGTGCGGCTAGGATTGAGATTTGCCCTAGAGTGTAGGGAACACACTTGTGTTTGCCATGCGTGGCACAAGAGCCCTCTCAGTCTGCAGGCACATCTCCTCAGCTCCTAATGAAGTGGCAACATATGCTCTCATGGCGTCTGGCTAATAAAGCAAGCATGTTATGCGATGGAGCCTTCAAAATACGAAACAGAATAAACTGCTTTTATTAAATTCAATCAGCTCCACCTGGGTACCTCAATAGTAAATGCTCAAACATTGTTAGACTTAAATGGTCATCATCACGTTTGGAGCTGAGATGATCACATGCCCTGACTTCATTTGCATGCTATTTTTTGAATTAAGAAAATAATGTTTAAACCTTCCTGGGCTTAAAAGCCTCAGCAGTCACAGATGCTTTAATGGGTTTCATTTAGGGGAGTGCACCAGTGCGTGGCCCTGCTGAGGAAGCACAAGAGTCACTGGGGCGAAGGGGGAGCGGAAGGCGGGACGGGCGGAGCGTGGCCGAGCCTGTGCCCGCCGTGCCATCGCAGTGTCCCGGGCCAGCGTGGGTCCCTGCAGGCAATGGAAGCTGAGCTGTGCCAGCAGGGCCTTACCTGGTTCTTCGGGGCCACGATGTGCCAGGAGCAGGTGACACCCGCGGGATAGTCCCGCTCTGGCCAGTTGGGCGTGTGGAAGGAGCCCGAGGGTTTCTCCAGCCGTCCCCCGCAGTACTGGTCCCCTGCAAGGCAGCACAGCGGGGCCCTGAGGGCGGCGGCCGTGCTGAGGGAGCCTCGGCCACAGCCCGCCCAGACACGGCCGAGCCCTCCGGCCCACCTGGGGCACCTCTGGGAAAACACAGCTAATAAACGGCAGCAAAACAGAGAGAGAGAAGCATTCCTGCAAACGCTGGAGGAGGAGAAGCCGCAGGTACTGGAGGAGCCATCCCACAGTCCGTGGCAGCAATGGTGGGGCCAACATGCACTTCCAAAGGAACTGCAGCCTGGGGAGTGTTCTTGATGGAGAGGGGTCTTTTCTTCCATATCTCCTGCCCTCAGTTCCAAATTAAAAACTCCATCAGGTGTGTAATCCTTATCTACAGTATTACTATGAACCTTCTCATTAAATTAACTATATCCGGGCAAGGTTATTTAATGTATCGTTCAATACAAGGTTACAACTGGTAGGCCTGATAAACTACTCACCACCTGCACTGCCTCTGCCCAACAACCTGTCCAGTCTGGTATCATACCAATAGCAAAAGCCTTGTACAAGAGTCACTAACTAGGGCAATACCACCTTCCTGTGACCTCCCAGCCTCTCACTGTTCATACTCTTCCCAAGCACCAGGCAATGTCTTTATGTTTAGTAATACCTGATGAATTTTGCTTTGATGTTTTTGTAAGTGGTTTTAAACCAGGACAGAAACAGACAATCCACAATATCCCCTGGTACAGTGTTCTACTGCTTCACAAGCCACAGAGAAAAAACACCCTCTCCTTTCCTTTGCAGCCACTTGCTCATCTGGTTTTTATGTTGAAAGAGATGGACCGAGGTCCATGTTCCTCCACACCACACTTCCTCCCCACCAGGCATGATTTCATAGCCCTCCCTACGGTCCCTTTGACTTTCTCTTTTCCAGCATGAAGAAGTTCATGCTGTGCAGTTGATCTTTATGTTTGTGGTGCTCTTTTAACTCTATCTTACTTGTTGTCTCTGATTCCTTACTATAATTTGATCATATTCAGTTCTGAGATGGGAACATCAGAAAGGCACACTTTATTCAAGATGTACATGCATTAGGAATTTATAATGGCATGGGTTTTGTTGTTGTCGTTTGGTCTTTATTTTCTTTCTAAAAATTATTTCATTTATGCTTTGTTTTGGATACCCACTAAGCACTGAATTGATGCTCAACTACTGTATTCATAAATTATCTACTTTATACCTAAGATCTCATTCCAAAACAGTAAGAGTCAATTCAGAACCTGCTGTACTGTACACAAAGTTAGGGTGTTTTCCCCTTATGTGCAACATTTATCTATATTGAATTTCATTTGCCCTTTTAATGGCTAGTTATTACCAGTTTACTACTATATACAGTTCTCCCACTACTCTTAGACTGTCAGCCTTTCTCCTTACTATGTGATGAACCAAGATGGCTAAACAGTTACACTTTGCTTTTTGCTAAGCAAGGTAATTAATAAATACGTTGAATAGCACAATCCTTAATATCTCTGGCACCAAATCTTTAAAAGCATTAATGTGGCTCTGGATAGAGCCGAGTAATATTTGTCTTCAGCACATATGTAATGGTGAATTACCTCTTTCATGTGGTTCTGCTGCAGAAAACTTGGCAATGAATCCACTCCCAGCAGTATTGGCATCTGAAGTCATCTGCACCAACATTTTATTGCTGCTGGACACCAGGGCCCCTGGTTTGACGGTGCCACAGAACCGGCCGATGCGCTGCCCGCTGCCGTGGCCGCTGTAGATGTCCACAAAGTCATAGCGGCACAGGGCGTCGCTCTCCAGGTCCAGGTACCGGAAAGAAAGCACCACCACCTTTCCCTCTGGGACCTGCACAGACAGGGAGGGAGGGACACATGCATCTGCAAGTGTGACCACATATCCATCAGATCCACTGTTTGCATTACTGCTTTCACACCCTTCACCTCCTGCTCAGATGAGCTCTTTTTGTCAACTGCATTCCAGGCACAGCAGTTTCTAAAGCAACTTGGACCAATCCTTAGTACAAGGCTCTGGCCATCTCTTGCCATTATCTTGTTTCTGATCCAGAGTATCTGCTAGTCTGGCTCATGCAGTTAATTATAAACCAGTTCAGCCTGGTGTGTTTCTCTTATTTTCTGCTGAAAGTGTAGAATCAGCCATGCAGCTCTCTGTCACTAAGCAAGGTGAGGAGGATGAGATTAATATGAAAAAAATATGGAAAAAATAATTTACCATTTTAAACAAATGAAATGGCCTCTCTCTCTGATTTGTGTTACCAAGTTTCATAGTTTGAAGGAGTTTTTTAATTTACTGACATACATCTCACATTTATAAATAAAATTGGAAATTTTATGGCTGACACTTTAAAACCCTAATAATTAGTTACTGAAGTGGCTGCAGTGAAATAATTATATTTGGAAAGACAATGTAAAACTATAAACAGAGAATTCAAAAGAACCACTAGTGGGTGTCCTCAATACAGAAGAGAGTTTTGTTTTCTGAAACATCTGAGGAAACATAAGTCAGGGCAAATCTTGTTACATGTCTGCACGTGGACATTGCAAAAGAGACAAGAGTACAGAGAAGGATGCAAATTAAGACAACATAATTGTTTACCAGGAGAAGAACATTTCCTGGGATACAGTTACAAGCTTTTAAGAGAAAAGTCAGCATACTGAGAAGTGAAAACTATTCTAATAAAGCACTTAATGCTGTGTAACAGAACTGAAGAAGGGAAACAGTATTTTAAAGTATAGAGGGACCCTAGACAGGCAAGTGTAATTATGTGCATTCAATCCATATCATGGTAGAGTGGTTAGCTATTAGAATAATTGCAGCTGTTCTGCTTTACTGAGACACTACTATAATTTTCTGCTTTAAACATACACTTAATATATCTGCATTAAGTTCATATTTAAGCCACGTTATTTAAGAGTTCATGAATTTTTTTCATTCCTTAACAGTGACTCATTTTAAAACACTGGTTTAAAATAAACTAAAACTAAACTGTTCCTATATGAAATTGTCAAACTGTTTTAACATTGAGTCTCAACAGTTAAAAATTGCTTGTCAAGTATAGATGGAAGTGTTATAAATGAAAGTGACTGTTTTAACCCACAGAAGATACTGATAGAGGCAGCAGCTCTAGATGTACTGGAAAATGTGCTGTAGGTGTGTTCAGGTTACTCTCTCATGTGGCTGCTTTATGCCCAGTGTTGATATTGATCCTGCAGCAGGACAGACTTCTGCTTGAGCTGTTCTCAGCTGCCCAGGGTCCCTGTGCACACTTCCTGACCAGCTCCACTGCACTTCCTGCTGCTGCTTTCAGGGAATTTTCCTTTGAAGTTCAAAGTTCTCTCAAAAATGCATTCAGGTCCCTGTGCTGATACACATCACTGCTACTACTACAAAACCACAACCCGTCTAATCTTGAATTTATTCCTTGAATCACTGCTCTCATATCTAAATCTCTTACCACATTCACTTGTCTTCTGGTCTGAATCCCTAAGGAGAATAAGGCTTGGTCATTTTAACATAAAATGAGCTAAAATGAATTTGGTATTCCTGCCAGAAGATCTGAATATTATTTACGGTTATACTACAAACTCTGTGTGACTGGACAAGTCAATTCAGAAATGCTGACAGTAAAGTTAGTTAGATAAAGTCAAATTTAGGCAGTTAGATGACAGAAGCCTTTTTTCCAGACGTATGTATGTAAAATAGCATATGCTCTTTTGGGGTGGAACAGTCATTCTCATTTTTGTACAACTGGTATGACAGGATGCAAATGGAGCAACCTTTAAAGGTTATCATGTTTTAAAATAAACTATCATGCCTACAGTTAAGTTTGTCCAACATATCCCACAACAGTGTCTTGCAGCTTTGGCTAAAACTTGCCCGTCTTTAAGATATTTCCCCTTTTCCTTCTCCTGTTTCTGAAAACTGAGCAGAAGTTCCTCTAGCATATTACATTAAACAGTTTTATCAATGCTTAGGAGATTTTTCCCTATTTTCTCAGCCTGAATTCCTTCTTTGAATATACCTGCTGTCTCCCAGAGTTCAAAGAAGGAAGTGGAAATGTGAGAGGTGGCTGGTTCTGGGGTACAAAAAGGTCATTTTGCTGTTTTTGTAGAACTGCACTCAGATTTAGCCAAGTGGTTAGTGCTCAGTAATGCTGATGGTGCTCACTGACAGCTTTGTTCCAGGAGTGCACTGACCCAGCACTGCTCTACTCACACCAGCCCCAAGGCACTCACTGTGCCCCTGGGCATGCCACTCTCTTGGGGACAGAGGGAAACAGGGCATGGGACAGAGCCCTGCTCAGGAGGGAGAGGATGGCAAAGCAGCCAAGCCCCAGCTGCAGTCAGCCATTCACTCAAGCCTTAGGTTTTCTGGTTCATGGTATCATCCATTCTGTGCAGTGTTCTGCTTCCTCCTCCTCTCCCCACCACTGGCTATACTGTACTGTACTGTACTATACCATACTACACTATACTATACTGTACTTTTTAATTATATTTCATTGTAGCTTTTAATCTCTGCTTCTGTCAGTTTAGTCTATGTGAACTTGGTCAAGACTGTTCCCCATAGATGTACTGACTTCTGTTTCATGACAGTCTGTAAAAAAATGTGTAGGAAAAACTCAGCCACATGGTCATAAACGTTTAACATGGAGCCTGCTGCAGTTTTTAGTTGTCAGAATAATACTTGCTCATGTTTAGCTGAATTTGGAGAGGTAAGTCATTTAAAGAAACATGGCAGGCCCTTAATTACAGTCACTACTTACTGCTATTACTTTCATTTTTACAATATACTTGCTTATTAAAATATTTGTCATTCACAAAAATAACAAATTTGTTCCGGTATGTTAAATCAGTTAAAATTTTGTGGTCTGAGTAGATGACAATGAAGTGCAGAGGATGCTGGTTCCACATTCTGGCAGCAGCTGTTCCAGTTTGCAGCTACTCCCAAGAAATCTTGTGCTAAATACAGGCATCTTTGCATAACTGTGCTTTTCTTTGATTTCTACCATTTCTCTTCTTTAAATGTTGAGAACTAATGTGCTAAAATCTGCCAATGGTTGTCCCAGGACATTTAAAATATTGTTCCATGAGAAACACGGGGGAGCAAGCAAAGGCCAGCATGACTCAGTATTGTTTACTTTGAGCCACCTCTGAGCCTGTTGCAGTACGATGGGATACCTCAGAGGAAGAACTGGAAGGAATTCAGCTCTTAAAAGAAAAGGAAAAAAAAAGAGGGAGGAGTCAAAGGAAGAATGATGTGATGCTTCCTCTGCAGGGTGTGCCTTATTTTTGTTTTATCCATCCAGCTGGTATCTTTCAACAACAGAGGCACTTCATCCTCTGCCTTTCCTTGTCACAAAGAGGGCACTGACCCATACTCACTCTCTGCTTCCCTTCTTATTTTAACTCTATGAAATTCTTTAGGTTCAAAATTATGATGCTGAACTAATGTCTTACTCCTATGGAAGGCTAAAGAAATTTTAGAGAGAGTTTTTATAGAGCATAATTCCCTAAAATCATCTGTGTAAATTGCTAACCTCTTCAAAAGCACATGATTATTCCATATATACAACATACCTCAAAATAAGGTCATGAGATGGTTTTTGTTTATAATTCATTGCAGATATTTCATATAATGTTAATCAAAGTTCAGTTATCCTTAAAGTAGTGATGCTGTTTTTCTATTATTCTGACTGAATACAAAGCCTCTTGGTCAAAATTACATGGTTTAGACTATTTACTTTGAAGGGAGGAAACCCGTTAAATGCCAACTTTCACAAATATATGTTGTCTAACTTTTAAACCTGTATGGGTTGAAGAATATATTTTGATATATGTTTAATACAAAAATGCTGATTGTATGCTTTGCTATAGCAGTCCCAGGTAGAGTTGAAAAATACATCAGCTACCTGCAAGCCAAATGTATTATTTCTCTCTTCTGAGAATGAAGTAGAAGTTATTTGGAGTCACATCCTGGGAAGAACTATGATTTCTGCCTAGTTACTTGTCTATCTCCATCTCCAGTTTTAAAAATTTGTATTAGCTTGTTCTTCCTGACAAGGCACTAGATTCTGTTCATCTTTTTCTTTTCCAGCTATACAACCACTGTGTAAAGACCTGGAAGGGTCTTTTCTACTGGAAGGGCAGTTTTTCAATGACATAGGAAAATGAATGCTGAAAACATAGAAAAATTTATGTAAAATATTCTGCTCCCTCAGGGCAGATTCCCAACTGCCCTGATAAGTAAATTTTTCAAACTTTGCTTATTGTCAGCAAACCTGCTGGAACACAGCTCCTGAACCTATAAAAACATAACCTTACATAACTCTGACAGTTTTCAGTATTATTGTTGCACATAAAGTTGTTGGAGTTTTATGGGAACTAAGCAGCCTGCCAGAAAAACACAGGACAGCAGTCCAGATTCTCGGACTATGTGACACTTTTATGTGAGGTGATGGCCAAGAAGGATTACAGCGTATTAAAACCAAGTGTATATGACATATTTTAGATCAAACTATATACATTACTATAGGAAAGGAAATAGCTGTACAAATGACTTCTTAGCAAAGCCAGTGAAAAGCTGCTGGGTAGTCTGCCAAGGCAGTAACAGAAGCACAAGCATGTGCTGAACACTTCTTAGAGCTCTTAGAATAGAGAAGCTGTTTTCTTTAGCCAGCTGAAAAAGTCCCAGTCTCTTGAAATAACAAAACCATAATTGAGTTAGACTCTTCCAGCTTTAGCAAACTAGTTGGAAAGATTTCAGATGATACCTGAATGCTACATTGCTTTATCTGTATTACCTGTAATGTTTTCTAAGCCTGTTTTCCTCTAAAGAATGAATTAGGTCTCATTCTGCCTTTCATCCTGCATTTCTTGTGCAGATGGTGAAATTCTGTAGTTGAGAAAACAAGAGCTTCACGCTTCTCATGACCCAGACATAAAGTAAATCAACGTCTCTATCAGTCTTGCAGGCTTGTCAGATCCTGCATTAAGAGACTGTTTTCAGAAAGGTGTTCACAGCCCTTGGCTAAAACGGACAGGCAAATGTCTTAGTCACTTTCTAAGACCAGATGCTAAATGAGGAAGACTAACAGTAACTACAGAGTATTTCTTCATGGCAGTGTAACTGGCTTACTTACTTGGGTGCTATTACAAGCTATTCTGAGCCTCAGCAGTATTTGGTGAAAGGATTTTGTTGTATAAATTCAGGCCAACCAGACCCTTGAGCGTACCGTTTTGCCACAGTATGGTAAACCATGGTCTTTTTAAAGAGACTACAGGCTTAGTCTTGCAGGTTTATTAGTCCTTGCCTTCCCAGCATCCTTCCTGCACACCCAAAAGACACAGAGCATTCTACAGTTGATGGGGAGACGAAATCAGCTTGGCTTAGTGAACATTATTTTTAACAAAACAGGCGTTAAATGGGCTGAGGGCACAAGCCAGCCTGGACTATCCAGTTGTGCAGCCCTTCTCTGGCTTTGGGCAAACCACAAAGGACAAGCAGGAGGCAGTCAAATGGCAGCACAGCAGAGCACTGGGAGTCAGGGTGATCAGGAAATGACAGAAGCCATTGAGTTCCTCCCATGGTCAAGAAAGCTCAAGTGCAGACACAGCTCTGCTACAGCTCTGTAGAAATGCTTCTCACCGTGCCCAGGCTCACCTGGATGTTGGCATCTTGTTAGCAACAGCCACATAAAGTCTGCAATTAAAGCACTCTGTACGGACTTTCTAAGTACAATAATTTGTTCTCTTCTCCCTCTACCCCCCATATATGAAGGGCAGATACATGGCATGATTCAGTAATTGCTTCTTTAGTGCTGCCTCCATTTGGTATCCAAGTTTTTAGTGGTAAAAACTTCATGCTGTTACAAGCAAAATTATTATCTCCCTCCAGATTAAATTTTGAACTTTTGAACATCTAATACTGAGTTACACTGGTATACTAGTTTTGTATGTTTTTCCCTTTTATTTAAGGCATGTGTGTATGATTCCAAATGCAATTTGCATCTGCTCTTCCAACTGCAAGGTGGGCTGTGCTGACTGCTGTCACCTCAGCCCCTCAACAGCAAAGAATCAAGTTTGTGGGCATGCACCATGCTTCACATCCTCTTTGGGATGAGGTCAGACACGGCTCAAAGGTAACCTCTAACTGGGCCCCAAAATAACACAACAGAAAGGTGCAGAAAGCAGCTCTGCAGCTTCACTGGCATCTTTCAGATAAAACGATTAAAATCACAGCGCTCATTTGGTACGAGAGTTGTTTTAAACTGAACATTGTAAACAGATCAATGTCTCCTGCTCTGCGTCAGCATCTCTATAGTAGCAGGAAACAATTATCCTGTGACATCCTATTCTCCTGCCAGCACTTAGCCTGTGATGCAGTCTTTCAACTGAACTTGTCTTTAGTGATCCTGTCAATGCACAGACAAACTTATTTTTTATGCCATCCTATTTTTTCTGTAGGCCCAAATGTCAGAAGAGTTCTTGGTGAACTGTGTCTAAAAAAGAGAGGAAATTTGGTGGGCAGTTTCAGAAGGTTTAATTTGTGCAGATGTGAGGAAGAGTAATCATTCATTCACATCCCCTTCTCTGACTCCAGACCAGATAAGGATATCCAGACCACGAGTATTTAGCCCTAGTTGTTTCATGGAATCTGTTGTCCCTGAATATATCTCTTCCCTACAGTCTCATTTCAGCATCGAAATATCAATTGTACCACATGGTTCCATTTCACATAGTCATTTATAAATGTAACAGCACTTCCCTACTGCTGTCATCCTGCTGTATGACAGACTCCAGATGTCCTGGCTGGCAGAACTCTGCTAGCAGCACACTTCAAGCAAACCTGCCTGATTTTTTTTGGGTTTGATTGAAACTTTTTTATATGTCTTCTTGCCAAGAAATTTTGCTTTTCATACTCGCCACCTCAAATCTTTTCTTTGCTAGAACTCACTATTGTTTTCCACAGTGACAGAAGGGGAGATGTTTGCTTTTAAGTGGGTTCATTTAAAACAATTAGAGATGCATCAGGGAAGTCAATGAAAACTTGCTTCTGATATGAGGTAAGGCCAGTTGGGTTCAGCCACAATTATCATATTACATCAACCCTAAAAAGCTCCAGATAGCTGAGCTAGTTTGAGTTACTGAGTTCATTATTACACATATGTTACCCCATGTAAAACGCAGTTTCACAACAAATTGCTGTTCATTGTCTTCAGCACTGATTTTGTGGTATTAAAAATTCTTACGGTGATTTTCCAAGTACATTTGCTGTTTGGTGGGTAGACGCCAGGAAATCCTTCACTCCCAATAAACCCTGACTCTCCAGATACAACTCCTCCACATGTAAATGTAGGCCTGAGAATAATAGAAAAAAAATTCATTTATTCTTTGTATAAGAGGCACAAACTGTCTCAACAGCTTAAATATTTAAAGCCATTGCTAACATGGAATATGTTTAATCATTTACATAAAATCACTATTGACAGAGAATGTGCAATTTAATGTGCGAACTTAGGTGTAGAAAAAATTAACTCCTTAGGCCTTAATTATGGTCAGCACAGACTGTTATCGCTCCCTCCTTTTTTACTTCCTAAGAGCAGTGGTGTGCCAATGTGATGTATCACTGCAAACTGCTATTATAATGGAAAAATTATTATTGAAAAGTCATTAGCAACAACTTTTTATAGTACATTTAATAGTAGTTAAAATAGCATTGATATAAAAATTACTTCTCACTCCTTTCTATGCTTTGAATTTATATGTTTTAATCAAGGAAGTCCGTGGTACTTTTTGGTACCTCAGTAGCACAACCCACCCCGTGCTGAGCCCCGCTCATGGTGCTGAGCCCTGTGGCCCAGCTGTCCTCAGGGCTCAGCTCAGGTGCTGGTGCCGGCTCCGGACACGCGAGAAACTCTGGAAAAGCTGCATGGAATCTCTGCTACTGCTGAGCACACGAGGGTGAGCGACCGCCCTGCCGAGCTTTAGCCACCGGCACGCCTCACCCTATCCTACTGTTATGTTAGTTTACAGACTAGCGGGCAGCGGGCTGCTGTCGCAGGGCGCCGGGCTCCGTGGGCAATGCTCCTGCCCTGATGCGGTCACGGGCACTGAAACACGGTGGGAACGCGA